AAACTCCCCCAGGAGGGAATTTTTATTCTGGAACAAAAGACATCCCTCCTTTCTGCTAAGAGATTTTCTATCACCCAAGGGTTCAAAATGTCTCTTCTCTATTTCTGACCCTTAGGAACAGAGTCTTACCTTTTCCTTAATTCTGAAACCATCCGTGGAGGTTGCTTCAGCAAACCAGTGAGTCAGTCACCCTTCCTTGATGCCAGAACCACACACCCTCAGGACAGGGCCATGGGAGTTTGCGATCACAGTGGACTACTCTGGGGAAGGGCTTGTGCTTGGCAGGGAATCTGACTGATTAAAGGGGCCCTCTTCCCAACTGATGCAGGGCCATGGGGCCCTCATGAGTGACAACGTTGGTCAGCGTTCAGATTAATCATGTTACTAGAGGGCTTTAGGGGGACACTAGACGCTAGACTACACCAGCTGGGATGTAGTGGGGAGAATCCATGTCTAGAGAACCATGTGAACAAAGTCAATGACTGCCAATCCTGAGTCCATATGTGAGCACCAGCCCTTGACAAAGTATCCATCAATTTGTAGGAGATTACACACACACATCGTAAATCCTTATTGGCATGAAGTTACCAGCTGTCCTTGGGAAACACTGCCTACTATTCTGACTTGGGGTGCTCAAATGTCCCTTCTTTTATGAAACTATGGTCATAACAGATGGTTTAGTAGAAACTTTCTTAACCAGTCCCTTTCTTAACTAACTTATTAGGTCAACCAACACCCTTCAATCTCTTGGTGAAGCATAATGACTTTACGCCCATGGCAACAGGTAGACCCTCCTGAAGGCCCCTCACTTCTGCTTTGACCTGTTGAGGTGCATGTTTAACAAGAGTCAATCGCATTCAGGCCCAAACTTGTTTAGGCCGGTTACACATGTGAATTATAATTATGCAGTTTAATGAATTCAGCCATAAACTAATCAATTAAGAGTGTAAACAGAAAGGATGTTGGCCACTGACATAAGAGTGTAAACAGAAAGAGAACTGTTATTTCTACAAAAAACTAAATTGAATGCTTTGGAAAGACAATAAAAGCATGCCAATTTTTTTAATGTCAAATTAGGAATGAATGAGAATAAAATTTGGGGGGTGAAAACACAAAAATGGAAAAGTGTTTTGCAATCAGATTGCTTCATGAGAATCTAGAATGTCTTGCTCTGTGTTAGGAAAACTGAAACTGGAACTCCAGCACCGGACAATGTATGTGGTTTGTGCAGAAAAAGCAATACATCCCTTCTTCCAGCAGATCCATAAGCAAAGAAAAGACCTAGGTCTACATCCAAAAACTAGCAAATGACTACACATTCAGATATTTGAGCCAAAGTAAAGCATTTGGAGAAAGAATATATCTTTTTTGTGATCCCTTGATTTAACCAACTTTTCCAATGAATTGATCATTAACAATTCCAATTCCATTGGATAAAAATACACTTACTTGGGAAAATAAAAGGCTGACCATTATATCAGTTCCTCCTCATTGAAAAAATTATTGGTGCATAAAATCAACTGATTTTAGCTGTCTGGCCCTTCCAAGGCCAAGTGGCTATGAACTTCATTTTCAAGGTGTCAAGCAAAGGTAGCCTTCAGCCCTGCTTCAATCCAACATTTATCTTAATCATGTGTTTTGAAGGTTCCCAGCCCAGCATGTTTTTCTCCCTCAACTGACTCTCAAAAGGGCTCCGTCTTCTGGAAGCCAGAAATACGCACATAGTTCCCAAAAGGAGACTGTCCAAACCCTCCCATTTTTATAAAGTGGAATCATTAAGTGTTAATAATTCAAAAGCCAAAAGAGGGAATCCCCAGGAACTTGAGTCAGGCTATAAATAACTGGGCACTCAACCAGAGCTGGGTGGTTAGATATCTTGGAGTTTGTCTTAACACAATGTGCTTTCCTAGAAAATGGTAAATGCCACCCTCACTCAGGCCAGAGAAACCTTACCTGAACTTTCTCTTTTGCAGGAAAGGTGCAAGTAAGGACCTAAAATCTGCGTTAGCAGAGTCTTTACAGAACAGCCAGATACGGCTGAGACAACACTGGGATACAAATTTATAAATGTTATGAAACCATTTCCTTTCAAACTGCTTGCAAATGCTTCCCTCTCCTCCTCCACCCTGTCTACTTCCCCAGTATGCTCGGGCTTGAACAAACTGGGCTGGATTCAGGGTGAGTTCCTGCAGTCCCAACCCAACACCTAAAGAACCTAAATGCCTCCCGTGAGGACCACCAGGCAGAAATCTACTCTGTAGATTCCAGATGCCTGGAATTTGGGGTAAAAACATTCTCTCCAGCAATACATCTGGCAGACAACATTTTTAAACCTTGAATAAGGCAATGAAAAGTAAACAGAGGGAATCTGTCATTCTAAACTGATTTACTTTCCCTCAGCTCAGCCAGGCTGCCAGAATACTTCCATATCCAACCCATATCACTGTCCAGATAAAGGCAGAAGCAACTAGACTCCAGTCAAATCAAACTGAGCTAAATTCTAGTCTTCTCTGTGTTTCTAGATTTATGTCATAAGTTTCACAACAATACCGTTTACTAGCATCTGTGATAGGTCACCAGAGGAGATGAATTCCTTACTATCCAACAGAAGCTTGCACTGATAGATTCTATTTTGTCCCGGCTGCTTAAAAACTCAATAGTAACGTCACTTTATGTGCAACAGTTAAAATGGCATAGTGATGCACTGGCCTCAGGCTTCCTGTTAAGACTTTTATTCATATGTGTCAGCTTACTCTAATTTTGCTCTGCTTTGAGCTTTTTCATTTAAATATCTCACTGTAGGCGCGTTTTTATTTTTAGTGGAGGTACTGGGGATTGAACTCAGGACCTCATGTATGCTAAGCATGCTCTCTACCACTGAGCTATACCCAAGAGCCTGGTAACTTTTGCTCTGTAAATCTCAAAACAACTGGGGTCCAAAACAGTTTCACTTTGACCCATCCAGCTTAAATCACCATCCCAAGAATAATTAAGCTTGCTTGGGTTCTGCAGACTTCCCCAGGACGTTAAAGCTCTTGAGATACTGAGGAATCATCTTCTGGGGAGTGGGAGCAGGAGCAAAGAGCATCCCACGCTGGGATGGCCATCCACCAAGGCCACCTCCCCTAGATTACTTGGTGTCACAGCAGTGAGAGGTCAGGGAAACCCTGGAACACACTGATAATGGCCCACTGAACATTCCTACGGCACCCATACCTGCTGGGGCCCTTGCCTGTAACCCAAGCATAGCTAGTCCTTTCTTCCCAGATCATGACTCCTTTCCCTCCATCCCAGCCCCAACCAAAAGAAAACTAAGCAAAGTAACAGTCCTTTGTCCTCCAGCCGGGAGGAATCATGGCTCCTCACCTCTCCCATTTCAGGAGGGGAGATAGAAGTCTCTACACTTCATGCTTCTGGGAAGTGGATCCTGAAATTCCTGTGGTTGCCCAGGTGACCCAGGACTCCCTTCCTAGAATGATGAACACAGGTGTTCCTGCTCCTGAAAGCTCGCCCTGGGTTCCCAAGTCTGAACCATCATGTTACTTATTCATTCAGTCAACACATGAACATTGAAGAACCCACCACGTACCAGACATGAAACTAGGCACAGGGAATATAGCAGTGAGTGAGACAAAGTCCCCACCCTCAGGCAGCCTACAGCCTGATGGAGAAGGGGAGACAATTAACCCACACAGCAACAAGTAAGCTCATAAAGTAGTGAAGGCAACGTGACAGAGAGAAATCAGAGGCGTGGCAGGGGTACTGCTGTTGGGACGGTCAGGGAAGGCCACCTTGAGAGGCTGAGATATGATCTTGAAAAGAAGCTAACCATTCATATATCTGTAGGAAGAACACTCTAGAAAGAAGGAATAGTAAGTGCCAACGTCCTGAGAAGGGAGCACGTCTTGTTAGAAGGACAGAAGAAAGGCCAGTATGGACAGAGCAGAGCAAGTGAGCGGCAAAGAGGCCGGGGATCGGGTCCTAGGGGCAGGCAGCGACCCGTGGATCCCGGGGTGGCCATGGGCTGTGGAAGAAGCCACCAGAAGGTTACAAGCAGGGAGTAGTAAGGTCTGTGCTTTAAAAAGATCACACTGGCTTCCGGGAGGAGAAAGGACTCAGGGGCGGGGAACAAGAGAGACTCCAGGCAGGGGCTGGAAGGTGGCTTGGACTAGGCTGGTAACCACGGAGATGACAAGCTGGAAAGGGATTCAGGACATATTCTGAAGGGAGAGCTGCCAGGACCTTAGAATAAAGCCAGTAATTCCGGCATCTGTAAATACTCACTGACTATCCCTATGTGAGTAGCTATACACACACACACACACACACACACACCTCCTTATATACAGTCTGGGGTGGTGGCCCAGACTCCAGACTCTGGAGCCAAAATGCCCAAGTTCAAATACCAACTTATCCACTTGCCAACGATAAAACTTAGTAAGTCACTGAAACCTCTCTGTACCCTGGTTCCTCATCTGTAAAATGGCGGCAATAATAAAGGTGCCTTCATAGGGTTGTGGTGATGATTAAATTAGATATTGTAGGTAAAGCATTTAAGGAAGAGTGCCTGCCATGTAGCATAATTTTTCCCTCTTGCTGCTGTAACAAATGACCACAAGTGTAGTGGCTTAGTTAAAACAATACAAATTTATACTTCTACAATTCTGGAGGCCAGAAGTCTGAAATCAGTTTAAATCAGCTAAGGTCAAGGTGCCTGCAGGGCTGGTTCCTTCTGGAGGCTCCAGAAAAGGACCCACTCCTCACCTTTTCCAGTTCTTGGAGGCTGCGGCATCCCACGGATCCTGGCCCCGTCACTCCGACCTCTGCTCACGTTGCCCCTCCCCTCTGTGACCTTCCTGCCTCCCTCTTGTAAGGACCCTTGTGGTTATATTTAGGGCTCAGCTGGACAATCCAGGATAATCTCCCCATCCCCAAATCCTCACACAGCCCCTTTTGCCATATAAGGTAAGGTTCACAGATTCTGGGGGCTAGGATGCCAATAACTTTGAGGACCGTTATTCAGCCCATCATACATGGTAAGCAATAAATAAAGATTAATTACTATTATTACCATTATCATCATGATTACCCCCTCAGCAGTTCCAGTGTGTATCCCTAGTCCCCTCCTCTGTGGGAGAGAAAGGGATGTGGAAAGACCCCTGTCTAACTCCCAGAAGCCCCCTGAGATGAGGTTCTGAGCCCAAACCAAAGCTGGCCATGATGCTGGCTGCATCAGGCAGAGGCCTCAGTCACTGATTGGTCCCATGAGGGGCTGGAAGCAGAAAGCAGACGAAACAGGAATGTGCCCACAGGCCTCAAGGAGAGTCAGAGAGGGGCCTGTGGAGCACAGGCTAAGGCTTCCTGATGGTGCTGTATTCCGTGGGCTCCTCATGGCTACTGCTGGGAACGTGGGTGCTAAGGTACCCCATGTTGCTGTAGGTTGGCTCCTGATCCGAGGTGTCCAAAGACAGAGCTGCATACGCAATGTCCTCCCTGGGGAAGGGAGCCTGCAATGAGATGTCCTCGGGGTTAGAGAGGCTGGCAGGAGGCTGTGCCCACAGATGGAGGAGGCCTTGGAGGGGCCTGGGGAGATAGACCGTCCAGGGCTTCTGGAATCTACTCCCAGGCCCTCCAGCTTCCCCTCCCTCCACTCTGCCAGGCACCCTGAGCTCCAGCCACAGCAGAAGACCCTCTCCCTCAGTTCTGTGCTGGGGCAGCACACTGTGCATGGAATCCCCGGTCACTCGGCCTGTCTGGGTCTCCCCTGATCAGCACGAGGACCGCGTCTGACCCGGCTCTGAGTCTCCCAGTGCTGAGACCTGCTATGCAGGCACTTTCAAAGGCCAAAAACTAGCGGGAGCTCTGTAGGCTGATCTTTCAATGACTGCAGCTTCACCCAGTGCCCACCCTCCTCCTCTGTGCCCACATGGGCTGGAGAAAGCCCATCTTCAAAGGAGGGGGCAATAGCAGGTTTTGTCTGAGCCCCACAGCAGCCCCACCAAGCACATACCATGGTGACATACTCCACTTCCACTTGGTTGGCCTGAGCAGAAGAGGAGGAGCTCCTGGAGGCCTTCTTCCGGGAGGAGCCAGAGGAGTTTCCAGTCTGCTGAAGGCTCAAGTTTGCATAGCAGATGTCGCTCTCCAGGGGCTGAAGCACCTAGGAGAGGACCCACAGGTTTCTCTTCCAGGGAGGGGCACCTGGCTCTCTGCCTCCCCAGGACCCCATCTCTCAGCTTCCTCTACAATCCCCACCTCCTCTGTCTCCCACGCCTGCCCTCTCCTGGCCCTCCTCCCTTCTGGCTGATTCCAGCATCCTCCCAGGGCCCTTGCCCAGGCAGTGCAGCTGGATTGTGAGTACATGGACATTTTGGCACAGGGTTTGTTGGATACATTTGGATCTCTGTGTTCCTGGGAGATGGAAAATGAGGAAGGAGGGAAAGGAGCTGGCTGATGTCTCTGGTCTGAGCTCGGGGACTCTCTTACCTGCTCTGCGGATATCTCAGCAGCTAAAAGACAAAAACAATTAGAGTTAGAAAGCCCATCCAGTGACTCACAGGCGTGCTTAGGTCTGGGGAAGAGAAAGGATAAGGCTCCAGGCTCAGAGAGAGGAGACTGGTTCTAATTCTGACTCCTCAGATGACACACTCTGGGACATTGGTCACTTCACCTGAGTTCTGAGCTTCCATTCCTCCATCTGAAAAATGAGACCTTGGCCCACCTCCTCTCCCCATCACAGACCTATCAGCTGCTCAGGTGGCCCTGCCAGCTATCAACTCCCCTGGGATGTGGCTGAGCCCACAACCTCTGATGGAAGTCCTGACTGTAATTCCACCATTTCCCCACCTGATTCGTCATTCAGGGGTCAACTCAAAGTCACACCTGACTTCCCCAGCCCCCCAAGCTGTTGAATCCCTCCCTCCCCAGCTCCCAGGGCACTTGATTTATGGCTATGTCATCACCCTCATCCCACTGAATTCTGATTAGTCTCCCGGGGCGGTGTGGGCTGCTGAGTGACCAAGCCTTTTTCTCCTGTGCTTTCCTGGTGCGCTGGCCGTGCTCCACCAGTACAAGTTATCTGCGGAGACAGGATTGCTCCGAGCTGCCCTCTAAGTGGTTCACTGTATGGACCAGTTTCAGGTGCTCTCTGGTTCCTATTTCTTTCTGTCCCTGCCCTCCCCCTGCCACCCTTACCCTTCCTGCTTTACAGACAACAAAGAAACACCCTCAGCAGACGACACCTAAACACCCTCGGCTCTTAGATACCGAGGGGGGCAGAATGGACTTAGAACTTAGATCACGGACAGTACATTTGGGAGAAGATGTGATGAACAAGAGTTAGGCTCCCCTCTTCCCAGACCACAAGATTCCCCAGGCTGTGGGGGAGGGAGCTGTGTTACTTTACCGCTGGGCCCCATGATAGCTTGGGTCCCAGTGGGTTCTGGGAAAAGGAAGAGGTGCAATTATTGTGAGAATGTGGAAGTGGAGCCAGACAGGAAAAGGGTTTGGTTGAGGCCAGACCTCGTGATTGACGAACACAGGCTCGTGAGCAGACGCCCTTCCTGAAAGGGCAAGTTTACACAGAGCAAGTAGGTCAGCCTGAGAAAGGGCCAGGGCAGAGGAGGAGCAAAACTAGGAGTCGCCACCAAGCTTTCTGCTGAAACCCAGAGGACTGTGTATGTGTGGGTACCTGCACATGCATCTGTCATTTGTGAGCTCACCTGTGTGTACAGGCACACATGTCCAGGCACCGTGTGGGCATTCGAGTGTGTGCTATGTTGTGTGTGCAGGCATGCACACATGGGTACATGTGTTTGTGCATGTGTGTAATTCATTCATGTGTGTATACATCCGTGTGTGTGTGTGTGTTTCTCTCTGTCCCTATGTCAGCTCAGTACCTCCTTGGAAACCACACGAATTCTACTAAAGTGTCTGGGTACCCTAGCAGGGCTGCTAGTCTAAGACCATGCCACCTCTGTCAGCAAGAGTCAAACCAGGAAACAGACAGGGAGGCTGAGCAGAGAGGCGAGAAGAGCAAGGAGGGAATACAAGGCAGATCTAGCCCCAAACCTCATGGGCTCACCTACAAGCTCCAGGCCTCCCTCCGGCCCCATCAGACTACCAGCTGCCATGGCCTTTGGGACAGCGTCCCTTCCAGACTGTGTGACCAGATGGCTCCCGAATGATCATGCTGGCCATCAGCCCCACACACTTCCCCACACATTTCCACCCAGCCCAGCCCCAGCCCAGTGACAGCCAGGTCCCTTCACCTTTCTTTTGTCGCTTCATCATTCTCCAAGCCACAAGTGAGGCCACCATCAACAGAAACAGCAACACAGCAAAGACGAGGGGAATGAGGACGCTGAGATTCATGAAGACACTGCTGCGAACAACAGAGGATGCTTCATGCACCCCAGCCCCCCTCCCGCCTTTGGCCTTATCCCACCCAACTGGCAGCAGTGTCAGACACGCACCACTAGACCTTTTGACTTACAGGCCTGTGGTTTCCAGCCTGGGAACCCCCACTTCTGGGTGCCCTCAAAGATGTATTTTTTAAAAAAGGAGCAGAGGGTTCCACAAAGAGTTTCAATGGGTCTAAAAGCCAAGGAGAAATTTTATGGCAACAGGTTCCGAAAAGGCCTCCCTGCTTCTACACTGGCCTCCACACTGGTGGGACAGTGTCCCTTACCCTTCTGTCTTCTGTGTTCACTCAGAACCTGGGAAGGTGACTTCTTTGGAACTAAGATCTTTGCAGATGTCGTCAAGTTAAGATGAGGTCATACTGGATTAGGATGGACCTTAATCCAATGACTGGTGTTCTTATAAAAGGGAACTTGGGGCACACAGACATACAGGGAGAAGGCCACGTGGTGACAGAGGCAGAGACTGGACTGATGCTGTCACAAGTCAAGGGAACCACCCGAAGTCAGGAAAGAGGACTGGGACAGGGTCTACATTGGAGCCCCAAGAAGGAGCCAACCCTGCCAACAGCTTGATTTCATTTCTGGCTTCCTGAGCTGTGAGAGCAAGTGAGAGGAGCCCCCAGCATTCTTGAGCCTGAGGGTCCGGAGACAAGCTCTGGCTGGGACCCAGGACTACAGAGGGTCCCGCCGTTGGAGGAGTGGGCCACCGGGAACAGCACAATCTGAGCTGGCTTACCTGCTGCCGTCGGAGGGGTGGCCTCTGGTGTCTCCCGTGGTGACTGGCGCTGTGAACGTGGTGGTAGTGGAGGTGGTGGTCGGCACTGTAGTTGGTGCTTGGCGTATAAACCAGATTACACACTGCTCGGCCTGCTCACCCGCCCCCAGCCCTGCCCGTGGCTCTGAACCTGGGGGATGGGAGGGAGCATGGGCTGCCCTGGCCTGAGGATTCTGGAGCAGGGCCACGGAAAGGGGCCTATAGCCTGGACCTTCACGTTTCCCTGGCCTCTAGGAGCCTCAGAGACTCAGAGGCAGGAGGGGCTGGCACAGGTCCAGGGAGGACACCAGAACCTGGAAGGTTAGAGGGGCCCAGGGTTGCCCCAGGACACGGGCAGCTGGAGTTCAGCTGAAATTTAGATACTCCAGCTGCTTATGACCAGGCCTCGGCCAATGCCCACCCCCCATCTTATGCATCCAGCAAGGAGAGGAGCAGAATGGGGGCTTCCCCGGGGGGTAACACACCCAAGATCTGTGACTTCAAAGGTCAAGACAGCCCTGAACAAAAGCATAGGGTTCAGGAAGAGCCTTTACTTGGGGCAGGTTATTAGGCTTCTACTATGGGGATGGGTATTTCTCAGGAATATTGTCAGGATTCAAGGAGACAATGATCGTGCTGTGCTTTGCAAGTATAACGTGCCTCAAGGGCTCCGGGTGTGGTGGGGGCTCTGCTGGCTGTGTGCCCGCCCCCCTTGACACAGGAGCCCTCTGAGCTGGTGCCACCTGCCCAAGGGTCATTGGAAGCAGAGCCCAACAGATAGACTCATTCACACCAAGGCACTGAGACCCCTGAGCCAACGTGCCCAG